ACTATAAGAGTACATGTCTAGCAAATGCTAGGACGTTCGACAGGTTCCTCGATCTTTCTAGAACTCCAGTGCATGCTCCCAGCGTCGCGCGACTTCCGCTGTCGTAACAATACCAATCTTGTCGAGCGTGACTAAGTCTTTTAACACATATAGATCTAAGTATAAATTTGAAAAAAAGGGCTGAATTTAGACAACTAGTGTAAGCATTTTTATAGGGGCTTCAATCACAAGAAATTTTAAACCCAATGGAGCTTTGTACTGTCAGTTTCGGTTTGTGTTTTAGTGAATGCTCCTGAAAAAGATCTAAAGCGAAATGTTGAGCATCTAATTAAATAAAAAGAACATTTTGGTATTATAGGGTCGTTTATTTATACTAGTAAAAACTGTACAAATTATACAAAATAATCCTCAAACTTAAGCCTACTGGGGATGCTAAATTTTAAGCCATGAGCTAAAACATTGTTTTCAAGAATTTTATTATTTTGCAATTCAATTAAATTTTTAAAGTGGACATAATCAAAACTTCATGTTTAGTTCTCCAACAATTTAAATGCATATATAGATTGTCGTGTTAGAAATTCATAACATTTATTATTCTGTTTAATTTCAAAATTAAATAGTTCATTCTAGTTTCAATGGTATTGTCTATAGCAGCAGATCTGAGGAACAGAAACCTTGAAGTTTGGGAAACGAGTAATTATTTTCAATCGTTTAGATTCATTCAAAATATACAAGTTCAACTTACTTTTAGAAGACTTAAAGTGTAATGTTTTGGCATTTTTGAATAGAGAAATGTCTACTGTACCTATGTTATTGATATCAACATTGACTTATTCTTACTTAGGAAATCTCAAGTATAATATGTATTTTATACCTAAGTATGCCATCAATTACCTCATATCCTAAGCTTTTATTTCTAATGCAAGTAACAAATTTAAAAGCCCTAGGAGAGTGTGATGTTGTGGTTCATTTTAAGTTGTTTAATTAAGATTTTAGAAAGGGCCAGTGACAAACAGAGTCGCCAAATGAAAGAGAGCTTATTCATTCACAAGCTGAATGAAGTTTGGGATTATAAATTCATAGACTTTTAAAGGGACAAAAAGGAGCTTCTTATCCCATCAAGGACGTCCCTTCCAGCTCCCAACTATAACCACCCCTTTCTACTCATATATTCATCTAATCTTTTCTTGAATTCAGTTAAATTTTCTACCTCCACCACCATTGAAGGCAGCTCATTCCAAAAGCCAGCCACGCTATTTGAAAAGTAATACTGTCTAAACTGCAAACGACTCCTACACTGCCAAAATTTGAATTTATGGCCCCTTGTCCTATTGTTTTCACTGCTAAACACAAAAACATTTGATGGATCTATATTATCAATACCCTTAATAATCTTAAACACCTTAATCAAATTCCCTCTGACCCTTTGTCTCTCCATAGAAAACAAGTTTAGAGATTTTAGTCTATCCTCATAGGACAATCCCAGGTATCATCCTAGTGGCTCTTCTCTGAACCTTCTTCAACACTTCAATGTTATTCTTGAAGAAGGTAACCTAAACTGTACACAGTACTCTAAATGAGGCATTACAAGTGATCTATACAATGAAACATTAGAGTCCCTTGTCTTGTATTCAATATTCATATAGATGCTACATAAAATCCTATTGTCCCTATTGCTAACTACAATACACTGTTGAACTGACTTAAGTCACAACACCAAGATATTTTTCTTCAACCACAGTATTCAGTGTATTCTCATTTAAATTGTGACAATAATTTGAATTGTGAAAATTTGCATGCATCACCTTACATTTTGGATATCTGCCACATATTGGCCCAATGCATCAAATGATCTAAATCTCCCTGTAAATCTGTAGCATCTTTGATACAGTTAACCACCCAAAAAATCTCAGTGTCATCTGCAAACTTCACAATTTTGTTAGTCATTCCAGGGTAAATATCATTAATATAAATCACACACAGCAGAGGACCCAGCACAGAGCCCTGATGCACACCACTTGTAACTGGGAACAAGTCAGATGTAACTCCATTTATTACTACTCTCTTCTTTCTACTCTCCAGCCAATTTTCTGTTCAATTTAATAACATTCCCCCCACACTCACAGATTTAATTTCTGCAAGAAGTCTTTTTGTGAGGCACCTTACCAAATACTTTCTGAAAATAGACCAAATTCACAGTATTTCCTTCATAAACTTTTGCAGTAAAATTCTCAAAGAATCTCAGAAGATTTGTTAAACAATATTTTCCCTTAGTGAAACTAGATAATTTTGTAGGATCAACAAACAGGTTACTTCTATTCTTATAAAATGTAGTAGTATAATGAGAAAAGCAGAATATCGTGGGGAATTTACTCAAAGACTACAACATACCTAAACATCAGAGAGCTAGCATTATATCCTATTCTCCTTAACTAATCTGATTGAGAGTCAATAAGCCTGAGTGGGCTTAAACCCATAGCCCTTTCAGATCTCAGGGTGAATAAAATTTAAAATGATACAATCCCTTTCCGAATAAAAACTCTAAAACAATTTAGTGAAAATAAGCTTGTGAACCACAGAAAGTGTGAACAGGCATGGACCAATGTATACATTGACATAATAAGATCTGCTAGGTGTGGTTTACACCTATAGCAAAAATCCCACATCACCCAATAGGATTAGACCTACAGGATGTCATATTCCTGGATTGAGTGGAGATATTTTTTAAGTCTGAGGATACTGAACATAGATAGTGTCCAATGTAGGTCTTCAGATGTTATATCTCAAATTACAGCAAGTTGTGTGGTCTAGCACAATTCGAAATGAAAATGTATTATACCCCTGCTCAAATAAATGTAGCTGAGGCAAGAGTGTTGGAAGCATAAGAGATGACCCTGCTGAAGTGTTCATATGTGACTGAAATAAAACCCGTATCAAACAAAGTGGGCAGTAATAATCGATAAGAATAATATTCCCTACTACGTATTGTTTTTCACACTGCAAAAAAAAAAGATATATTAATTTTTCTATAACATTTATGAAAAACAGAGACTTTTTCACCTACGCCAAAGTAGAAAATGTCGCGAGAATTCTGGTGTCTTATATGTTGTAATAAAGACCATATTACATTTTGTCTGTAGAAGAAATCTACAATATTAAACACCAAGAAGGTAAGATGAATTATACTATACCCTGAAGGCAATGGTATTCATTTAAGCAGAAGCAGCTAGTTGCTATAATGGGCAAATTTCGATCATTCTTCAACACATATTGTAACCTTTTATACCAAGATGGAAAAATAATACTCGTTTTATAGATGGGCAAAGTCCTTTATGATACCAGAGCAGGAGGACGTAAAAATAGCTTGCTTTTTCCAATATAGATAATACTCCTCACTTTATCAAGGACAAGAACAATATTTTACTAGGAACTAAACTAAAAAAGGATATGCTAGCCACTGGCTTCCCCATTCTGTGTATCGAAAGCTTGGTGTTTGAATAGAATCTCAGCTTCCATCATTATACTTTTCCTTTACTTAACCTTAGAATAGTTTTATGATTATTTTACAATACAGTAATATTTTAAGATTGGAAATTCTGGTTCTTTTGTTTTGCCAGTGAGGAAGCCAGTAATACGGGGATTTTACTCTCCATGTGAAGTCGAGAAGGCTTAGTATGCTATATAATCATGAGCCGGATCAAGTGATATGTTCGTTTCCATCCCTATCTTGTTTGGTTTCTTTTTTTCAAGTTCAGTAGCCAGCCCTACATAGATTTTTTATTTAGCCATACATAAATTTTTCCTAATACTTGTTTGTATACTATGTTATAAGATGGCTTACATGGGTTACTAGGTTTTGAGTGAATTCTAAAGCTTTGTAAATTGTGCATGGAATAATGATAAAACAGGTAGTCGAAGATCGTGAAGACTGTTTTGCTCTATCAAATGATTAGAAAATAATAATTACCGCTAGAACTAGGTAGGCGCTAAGCCTATTGAAGTTTGTTTGTTTGTTATGGATTTCTCGCCAAGCTACATTAGGGATATCTGCGCTAGCCGTCCCTAATTTAGCAGTGTAAGACTAGAGGGAATGCAGCTAGTCATCACTATCCACCGCCAACTCTTGGGCTACTCTTTTACCAACGAATAGTGGGATTGACCGTCACATTATAACGTCCCCACGGCTTAAGGGGCGAACAAGTTTGGTGTGACGGGGATTCGAACCCGCGACCCATAGATTGCGAGTCGAGCGCCCTTAACACCTGGCCATGCCGGGCCACCTATTGAAGAAAGATGGTGATGATCGAGAATTAGAAATCTCGGTTTTGGCTATTCGCCTATTTTCGACTTTTTGACGCTTTGGATAACTGAAAAGTAATATATACACTGAAGATAGAGCTACTCTGCCAAGTAACTCTTTATATCTAGCTTCTGATGAATTACATGTGTATTTTTATTTATTTTTTACTCCTTCACTTCATACATAATATAGGGGTTGGCTCCATAAAGACACTGAATGTATAGCGTACAAAGCATGGACTATTCCATATAGTTAAGAGCCTCTACTCGTAATATGCTGGTCGCAGGTTCGAATCTCCATCCTACAAAGAATGCTCGCTCGTTCGCTGCTAGCGCAGAAAGCCCTAGTATAGCTTTGCGCGAAATTTCAAACAAACCGAATTGTTGTTTTAATTAATCGAGTCACTGGTGGATATATTTCCGGCTCACCGATACATTCGCAGCGCCCATACTGTGTATTTCTTTGTCTTGAGAATTTTTATAATATCGTAATTTCATCAGGTTATTATATGCTATTGGATCAAAAGTCAGCTCTAAAATTGTTCAACTAGAAATACTTCTCTTTTTTTTTCTTTTCTTTCTTTGTTACTTTCAATATATTAATTATACTGTTTTTATTCTGACCTTTCATCGTAAAGGAAATGTAAGCTAAAATGTACCTATTTCACCCAAACTACCAAAAGAGGGCGAAATCCGTGACGTCAAGAAATATGATTGTTATTACTGTTACTAACTTTTATTGAGTACAACTAATGTTAGTGCTATATTTCTAACTTTAGAGTTTAGAATAGTGTTCTTTACAATTTAACAAAATTGACGCAAGACAAATATCGTTCTATATTTATTTAACATCATAAAAAGTGTATTCCTGCAATTGTCCAGTTTTTGTTGCTGATTTCATTCAGTAACTTATAAGTTTTGTTGTTGTTGATTGAACTTGGCAACATTCCAACATCAAATTTTCAAACAACAAACACTGAAACAGTGAAATACACCATAGAACTTACGAGAGGAAAAAATTGTGTAATTCTTACTCAAAAAAAATGTGTGATAAAGAGGAACTAAAGGTAAAAGTATAATTTTATTTTTGTAGTATAATTTAATTAATAAATTATAGAAAAGGGTTTCCTGTAATTATTTCTTTAATGTAATATGTTCACTTTAATGTCCAATTTTTAGGCCTAATTAGGCTTAAGAGTAGGTTGTCGTAAATCTAATTCATAGGAACATCAGAGTAAGAGTAAAACACAAGTTGTAGTTTGTATAACATAATACTTGTAATTTCGATTCATAATTAGAAAAGCCTAGCTTTGATTTAGAATGCAAATATGTTTTTATTTACTCAAACTTAAAAGTAAAAGCGTGAAAATTAAAATTTAGTGACTGATGTTCATAAACTACTAAAGCCACTGTCGAACGTTTTTTTACATAGTTTTACAAAAATCTCTAAAGTACTCTGTTCAATTTAACATTTTTCATTTCTAGCAGAGAATAAGGGGCCTATTTAAAGCATATGGTTCATGTAGACTGTTCCATTTTCACCCTACTCCAAACTACATATACTGATGACTGATGTCTGTGATGATATTGATATTGAATCTAGTATCCTCTGATCTCTAAAAATATTTGCATACTTTTAATGGCTGGAGACGGCTTAAATGGGTAATGAAGAAAA